GAGCATTAAGGCAGAGCAGAGGGCTTTCCAGGCACTTCCTGGGAACATCCAGCCTGAGAAGGTTGTGAGAAGTATTCTTTGATTTTGTTGAGCTATTGTCCTGTCATTGTAACTCCTGTAATTAAATGCTGCATATTTTGCATTGTTGTAGAAGTTCACAAACGTAAGGAACATCGAGCCATCCTGCAGTGTGGGAGATGAATCATCACTCAAGTGCATCAACCGGTGCTTGAGAGGGATACTCCTTTCCTGTGCTCTCCCATCCCAATGACCTTCAGACAGAACTCACAAGAGGCATTTAAACTCGCTGGATCCCTCCCAAGACAGCCAGCAGTTTGCACAGACATTGTTTTACCTTGGAACCATTTTAGGAAAGCTCTGGACTCAAGGCAACGTTGTAAGTGACCTATATAGGGCAAGAATCAGTAAGAGGTCCTGAATATTAGCCATCTCATGGCATCTGTATACCTTCCTACTCGAAGCTGAGGATCTAGTGCTCATTTGTTGCCAGTCCTGCCTCAGTGGAACTTGGCAGTGGGTGAGATCTGTGCCTGAAGAAGAATTTTCCCCTTGTAGTAAATACAACACCTTAACAAGGAATGGAGTTCTTCCTCCTAAGGGCAGATCAGGGGGCCAAGGCTGGCCTGGCAGCTGGCAGCCCCTTTTGGTCCCTCAGATGCCCTGGGATGCACAGGAGAAGCCATTAAGCCCTCCACCCCTCCCCATGGCTAATGGCTGCAGTGTGTGTGTGCTCTCCCACAGTGACTCTGCAATATGTGCAAGACAGGTCTAACCCAAGCCTGCTATTCCCTAAAGCAGACACAAAGGAAATCAAGGAACGCAAAAGAAAATCAAAAACAAGACTCCCTGTCCCCTTCTGCCCATTTTTTTCTTAGTGACTACAACAGTCTGAAACAAGATTTCAATTAATTATCCTCTCTTCCCTCTGGCTCTCTGCATTGCCAATTACTGTGCACACAGCACCTTAACCTTGTCCTCAGCCATGAGCTTGGGCTGCTGGCCATCAGCTGTCGAAAGCATCTCACTGCTGGAAAGGAATGGGGTTTGATCATCTACTGAAGTATTTTGGAGGCGTATGACGTCTGAAAGATGGGCTGCTTTGTGGCTGGTGCATATCCTTTGTTAGGGAAGTTTTAGCAGGGAGAATAATGCTAACAATAACAGGATCAGACCTTGCTCTGTATAAACAGAAATCCTCTCTCCGTTTATGAATACTTCAGAACGCGGAAAGGAGAACTGTCTCAGATGGCTCATTTTCATGCTTGAAAGAAAACAAGCTGCTCTGTCTGCCATCCTCCAGGCACACAGCGAGGACTCTCACCCCGGGCACAGGTCTGCATGGCTAATGGGAGATTTCCTCTGGTAAGGCTGGCGGAGGAGCATTCAGAAGGCACATACACAGCAGCTGGCAGGATGGCCTGCAGCCGGCTTTGGTGGTGGATCTCTGCTACTGAGCACCACTGATGGGCTCCAAGCAGAATGATAAACACACTCCCAGCAAGAATGTGGCTTCCTCCCCTGAGGACAGACCACCAAAGCCCAGCTTCCCAGCCTGCCTGTGGAGGTAGCATTGCCAGGGCATGCGGGTGGGCAGAGAATGAGGCAGCATTTCCCAGATCTGAAGGCAGTGGTGGCTGCCCAGCGGCTCCCCCCCTTGCTGGGAAGATATCAACAAAGCTGTCCTATTCATCTTCACAGACAGAAAATCCATTCATTTATTCAGTCTGCTCCTGAGGTTTCAGGCTGGAATAAATGAGTCCGAAGCAACTTATGCTTATTAAAACAATTCCAGTTTTTCTGGGCTTTTCAAGCCTGTTTTTTTTCCCCAGGACTGTTTTGTTTTTTCCCTTTTCTTTTTAAATATTCAGATTCTGAAGTTAAAATATAGGCTTAAGAGCATTACAGGGTAGCAGAAGAAGATGCAGAAGAAAACAAAAAATTATCTGAGTTGAAATTGAAGATTTAATTTCTAGCTGCTCTTTCTCCACAGGGAAGCTGCCAGGCATCACCTGCTCAATTGCTGTCCAAGCGAACAGAAGCCATCTCTCCAGCATGATGTTTGGCAATGCTTTCCTGCTGGTTCTGCCTCCTGTCAGATTGTGGCCTCAAGGGTTTGTCCTCTGAGCAGAGTAGAGAATCACCAAGAGAAAAAATGGGATTTTCCTATGCTGTGGGTTCTCTAGAAGGCAGTGCTGATGTTTGACATCTTGGCTATTTGGGGGTGCAGATGGGATGTTGGCCTCTCAGGACAGGAACTGTGGGAGAGGGTTAAGAGCTGTGCTTAGTGTAAACAGTTACAATTAGCAGACAAGGCAAGAGTAGTGGCGACAGTTGTCACAAAGTTCATGGGGTTCATGGATGAGTCTGGAGGAACTGGTGATGCATTGGCACCTGCTGCCCAGGGAGGCGGTGGGATTGCTGCTCCTGGAGGCATTCAATAAATGAGGAGGTGTGGCACTGAGGGACGTGGTCAGTGGGCATGGTGGGGATGGATCGAAGGCTGGACATGATGATCTTAGAGGTCTTCTCCAACCTGAGTGATTCTATGATTCCGAGACTGAGAATGGATCAAAATATTTCCAAGAAATGTTGGGAAAATTAATTTCACAAATAAGAGCACAAAGGAAAGGAAGAAATAACAACTGGAGACCAAGACAGGAGGAACAAACCAGGTATCTCGCCTGTCAAATTTAGATGCCAAAACACAGAGCAAGTCTGTTTTTCTTAGCTGATCTGAGGGCTGCTGGAAATTTCTTTGGGCAGCTCCAAATGCCTCTGAACTGAACTACCATGTCACTTACTGAGCATCCTCTAATGCCAAAACATCTTCCAAATTATATTTAATTTTTTTTTTATCTTACCTATTTCTTCCACTCTAGCAGTGGCACCCAGCTCTGCAAAGTACACCAAGCTTCCAGTAAGGCAGGTAGCTGAATAGGGAATAGGCATCTACTGACGTTAGCTGGTGCATGCTTGTCTTTCTCATCATCTGGAGGTATCTCCTGGAAAAGACTGTCCTCAGAAGGTGAAGAGCAAACAGTTATGGAAAATGGCCTTATGTGTCTGTTTCCCATGGTTCCATGCCGCAGCACCAGATCAAAAAATGGGCAAAGTTGAGATGAATTGTGTTCCTATGCAGGTGCTCCTCATATCCACTCCCCTACAGAAGTTAAACCAGAAAACTTATGTCATAGCCCAGCAACTGTTACGAACAAAATACCATAATCTGCATATTCAGATTATTCAGGGACCCTAAGCCACAGCAGTTAATAATTCAACAGAAATCTTTCATAGCGTTGTCTAATAAAGAGGGTCCTTTGAATAATTCACACCCTAGATATATCCATGGCAATGTCTATGCTGCATCCACCCAAGGACAGAGATGTCAGTCACCAGCACGCTCAATACTTTTCATGTCTTTCATGACTGCTACTCAAAAGTCACATGAAATGATTAACCTGCCAATGGCTGAGCAGTCTGCAGCACACACAAGAGGAGCAGCAGATGTCTCAGTTGGGTTGGCAGAGATGCATTGCCTCACTGCTTTGGAGATACCACGTCCTGGAAGAAGAAAGATGCCATGGGTGATTAAGTGGAAAAGCTCATGATGAAAGACAGGACCAAAGGGTTTGTAAATGGGTCACAAATGGGGTATCTTCATCTTCTGCAGCACAAAACCACCATTCTGCAAGCCATAATCCTACAGCAGTTCAGGTTTTACACCTGTTATTTGTTTTGCCTCACGTTCATTTCAGTTCCTTCCCTACAATGGGCTGTCCTAAGTAAACAAACACAATGCTTAGGTCATATCCAGTTACTTATAAGAAAGTCCCATTTGCATGTGAAAAACAGCACATAAGACATGCACACACCAACATGAGCTTGTGGTCTAGCAGGATGCGTGCAATTAGGTAATAAAGGCAGCAGGAAGGAACAGAGGGAAGTTGCTTACTTTTTTCAGTCTTAAGTCCAGAATCTGTGATTTCATCTCCCTAGAGAAGTGACTGCAGCAGCAACAGCAGGTTTTGTCCTTAGAAAGACAGGAATCTCTCCCTGCCTTGCTCCTGTCCATGCCCTTGCCCAGCAGCGTCAGCCGTGAGACATTAAGGGCATCTCCATACATTTCTGGGTTCTTCCATTATGCACAGAGGAAGCAGGAGAGGCTCTAGATGTAACCTGTGACAAAGAGAGTCCTCAATAACAAAGCCTTCCAAAATCCTAGAGAGATTTTATCCTGCTTTATTTTTCAGCAGACATTGGAGCAACTCCAGAAAAGCTTTACATTTAATAGCCTGCAGGACAGACTGAGCCTTTGGCCATGCTTCTCATCAATCACTCTGAGACGTGCTCCAGCACTCCTGCACCAGAATCCACACCTGCTTTGTCAGGAAGCATAATTCCACTTTAATTTTATTCTTAAAGATGCCAGAGTGCATCACGCTGTGAGGCAGGGAGGAAAGAAATGCACTCTGCTTTACGACAGCAACCAAACCAAAAAGCAGCAGCTTTTTCTGGTGATGGAATAGGATGCATAGAATTCTGTGGAGGCCACACAGAAATGGATGTCAGTAAGATCTTTTTTCCCCACTGTGATCTTACTCCAAAGATGTTAATGACCACAATTGGTTGCAGGTACCAAAATTGCACAAGCCAGGGCATTTCAGATGTTCAACTGGAGAAGTAAACGTTTGCAGACACCGAAGCAAGCAGGTCTGTGGTATTTTCTGGCACCATAACGAGAGTCTGTTACACCACTCAGTATTTTCTTTCCTTTCTTTTCTCTTCCTTTCCTTTAAAGCTAACATCCTTTTCCTGTGCCTGAGGGAGAAGGCAGCTGATAAAAGCTGAGTTCCTGTTCACAGATAAGTTTAGAAGGCAGCCAAACTCAGAAGTTCCTTGAATAAGTTATATCCCTACCACCTTTTTTTTTTTTTTTTTTCCTCTCTGTTAGAGGCATTCCACACAGGAACCAGGCTCACATTGTTTGATGGCCACGGACATTTCCACAGTGGCTGGGAGGGTCGAAAGCTTTTTCCGCTCTTTGTTACAAATCTTTTTTTTTTCCTTCCTTTTTCCAACTTTTCGTTTAAAGAATACTGCCAGGGCATTCCAGCACTAATTCAGGCTGCGCTCCGGAGAGGAGAACAACAGACAGGTGTAATTGGGTGGGAAAAAAAGCCCACAATGCTAGTGAAGGTTTTGCTCATCTGTAACACAATAGGACTGGCTAAGCTGGCCCGGCACATCGACCATCACGGCTACCACGATGTTCCGATGCATGGCTCAAATGCACAGAGCCATCAGACCCCCACAGACTCGGAGAGGGCTCTGCTGCAGGAGGAAGAGGGCTCCTGGGAGGCAGCAGAGCGCCGGGCAGATGTGCCAGAATACTCTGTGAGTATTGCCTACCCACACCAGGGAGAAAGAGAGCAGCTGGAAGCTGTCAGCCCGCCATCCCAAAATGGGTAAGTACCCAAATATGCATGTTCGTGCCATGTTCGTGCCCGTGATGGAGTCACATATGATAAACGTGATGAAAGACCATTATGGATAAAGGTTTCTCTTTGAAACATATTAGATTTTAGGGATTGGTCTGCATCCAAATAGGAGTTTAATGTTCTAACTACAGAAACAGGAAATATAATTGCTTGTGAAGGATGAAACCACAGATGTGGCTGACTCTTTATCCTAAAGACAGCAGGATGGATGCAGTGCCTGGATGCACCTGGTGTGGCTAAGCCATGAGGCAGAGCCCTGCAGCTCCCCTGTAGCACAGTAACACAGAATACTACTTCAGGCACAGCAGAACTAGATAAAATTCATTCCTCACTTTTTCTCTTCACACACCAACAGGGGTTTTTACCGACTGTGGCAACCTTTGCTTATCATCAGAACATACTCAGCTCAGACCTGGGCCTTGGGGAAAGAGGAAGATGAGAGAAAGAAGAGTGGGATGTTAGCAAAACAGGAACAGTGAGGAGTAAATATAAAAGGAGTAACAAATAAGCATGATATCACAAACTCAACCTTCCCCCCACCAAAAGAGAAAGGAGAAAACAAAAAAGGATTTTCACATACTTCTCATAATCATCTCTAGCTGTGTACCCAATCAGAGTAGATAAAGCATGTGCTCCACTAGAAAGGTTTCCAAACACTATGCGTTTCGTGAGTTTTACAGGGCATGTAAGTAGGTCCCTGAATGTTTTAAATAGATGAAAACCAATCAGGACAGGGAATGAATCTTTTATAGCACTGATGGAAGGCTACTGTTCAGTACGGCTGGAACAGCAGCACAGTGAGTGCTGTTCACAGCTCACTGCTTCAGGATGCTCTGATTCTTCTCTTCAAATGTTGTTGGGGTAGTGAGAGGAGGGAGGGAAAGACACTGTAAATCCTTGTTCATGTCACGATTCCTTTCCACACAAACAAAAGCTTGCCATCTTCTTTCTAAATCTCATCTACTTGTAATATTAAGGCCTCCCTTCTGCATGTAATACAGTGCAGGGCCTACAGTCCTGTTTTCCTTCATATTCCATATCCCCACAGATCGGTATGCCATAGCACTAACCTCGAATCGTTTTCTAAATCCCACCAAGTATTGACTTGCAGTTTTCTGATGGACAGCGTTCAGTAATGGCGCACACTTAATTCACCAGCTGCTGGTTAATGCATTTGAGACTCTAGCAGAGCAAGGAAAGCAAAACAGAACCATTACCATGGCCTTGCATGCTGTACTGCAAGGTGTCAGGCATTTGATGGCTTGTTGAAATGCTGATAGCAACCTAAAAGCTGCAAAAATTCAAATGTGTAAAGAGGTACTTGTAGAGGTCAGCAAGGCACTGTAATATACTTTCCTAATTAGGACCTTTTCCTTTGCTGTGTGACTTTGTTCAGCACCAACTTGTGTAATGCCATTCAGCACAAGCTGTTACTCATCCTGATTTCCTCCCAAGAAGAGAAATGCTTCCTCCTTTTAAGGAGATGGTTGCATAATGAGTCAACTCACAACGCTCTTCCCTATTATAAAGCAATGCTGATGACTACACGCAGTCAAGATCTAGCCTGCCAGTAGCTTCAGGGTATTCAGTCTTTTGCTGGAGCAATCACAATTAGAGTGATAAGCCCAGCAAGGCAGCACATCTCAGGAAATAAATTTAATGTTTTCAGAGGAGCTGTACCCAAAATTGAGTGGGGAGAGCGCATACACTAACAGACAGCACAGGTCTGCTTCTGCCTGTGCTCCAAATCCTTAGTGTTGGTGCAGATGGCTGAAGGAGCAAGGAATGAAAGCAAGGGAAAAGGCATTGGGAGTTATAAGGAACTAAGAGACATGGTGAGATCCACACACACCACTAAAAGCTCTGGGGTGATGGAAATCAACCCCTGGTCCATGGCAACGCTGTGATACCTTTCTAGCGACAATCAATGACTTTTCCCCCAAGCTCTTGCTGTTTTTCTTATGCGTTAGAAATGATGATTGTTACAAAACATTCTTAGACCTTTTCAAAATAAATGAGTATTATTTTTCTCATGGTCATTTGAATAATTGGAGACCATGATGACTAATACTCCCCAGGCCATTGGAATTCCTTGGGTTCTGTTTCAGCACGTAAGGTGAAATGACTCACTAAGGCCCAGTCAAATGCCTGAATATGTTATGTTACTACTGAATTCCTCTCAGAATAATGAGGTTATTCTAATCAGAGTTTTAAAATAAGGCAGTTTTTAATGAGAAATGTGTGGATAGTAAAGAACAGTTTCAACTGTTTGATAAAGGAAGGGCTAGGTAAGAGATTGGTATCTCAGCTGCTGCTTGTATCTGAGCACACCAGAGAGGCTGTGCTTGTTCAAAGTTTCCTTCTTTTTCCCTGAAGCTGTCTTGTGCAATTGATCAGTTTGACACGACAAAAATTCCTTATGGCTGAGATAAATGGATCCATGAGTACACAGACTTACCAGCAGAAGTAGAAAGGGAAATGGAAGCACAAGTATACAAAGATCTGTACTCTATTAGCATCTGTTTTAGGCATGGAAGTTGAAGAGTAAGAACAGTAAAGACAAGTAATAGATTTCATAAATATACAGTATATAATACCCATAACTCCCATGCAGGCTCTAATCCAATCCCTCTGCCTGCAGCCCCACAAAGAATTGCACTGACGACTCAGATTACATGCACACAATATTCATATTTCTTTAAAAAACAAAACAAAAAACAAAAAACAAAAAAAAAACAACAACAAAAACAAAGCATCTAAAAGGTGCAATTCCACCACATGCTAGTTTGGGCAGCAAAGCCCAGAGTTCCCTGTATCCTCAGTTGGCCTGACCTGTGAAGTAACACTGTCAACCAGATCACTTAAGTGTTCCAGGTTAAAAATAAGCTCAAGGAGAAAAAAAAAAACAAAACAGAGGCTATTTTTGATTTTACCCCTCAGTAACCACATTGACAGAGCTGATCCCCAAATGGATGGCTCACGCAGCGAAGGACAAATGGAAGTGGTGATGAGGTGGGGATAAGCAAAGGAGCTAAACCTGCCTTCCCTCCCTCTGACAGAGTCATAGAACTTCTTCTCTTTCCTAAAGTGAAATCATTGTCAGGGAGCTCCTGCCCTGTGTGAACTGTATCTCCATCATGGCAGGTATTTTAGTGCTCTGTTCTCCTTTATCCACAATCAGATGCTCAATCTCCCATCTATTGCAATTTTTCTTACAGTTAAAATGTTTGGGGGGGAAAAAAAAACAACAAAAAAAACCCCATCCTGAATCCTGACAGAAAAGGCAAAAATCTGCAGAATAAGTAGATCCTTAATCATGCTGACTTGTGTCAAGGTTTGTATACACAGTCCTGTCCCTTGATGGGAGGAAGGCTTCCTGATGTCAGCCAGCAGTGCTGTTATCTCACTGAAACACGCACCTCTTCCTTTAGCCCTGCACTGGGATGACCACAGAGCTGGTGTCTGTGATCAGCCAGGGTGCCCAAAGGGGGAGCCATCCATCCTTCAGAGTGAAAAGAAGCAGAGGAAACCAAAATAGCTATTATTCTGGGAAAAGTCAAAACAATGCCCAATCTTAACAGCTCGTTTTCTTTTCTGCTTTTACAGGAAAACATCAATTGATCTGATTAATATCAGTTTCACACTGACTCATCTATTTCTTCCAAATTAGAGAGGGACTTTCTTAGGATGTTTATGGGATACTGAAATTTCCCACCAAAGGGGAATAGAACGCAGGCTTAAAATAAAGCAACTTCTGGATTAAATGCAGTTTAATGTGATCTTCAGCCCCTGACATCCTGCACACTAGTGGAACGGCCAGAGTGCTCAACAATAGCTTTTGTAGTGCCAAGTTCACTAACAGAAGCAGTGGCTTTCCTATCAAAATTTGGCACTTGGCTCCTTTCAGGAGTTTTGGAAATCTTCAACTCTCTTGTTGAGTTGCACAGCTGCAGGTGGAATGGCTTCCCTTTTGTGTATTTGATGGGCAGTTCCTGAAGAAACGTAGCTTCACTGAGCATAGTACAGTAGTTACCTAGCCCTCCACATGCAGAAGATTCATTTCCATTGTTACATGGTTCATTAGTGCAAGCTGTAGCAATTCAGCAGATAGCAAGGGATCTCTTGTTTAAGCGTAGTGACAGAATCCAAAGCCTTCCTACAGATGAGGGTCAGTAACCCTCAAACAAGCCCTTAGCAGCTGGCTCTGAACAAACTGAAATCTTTTGCTGAGAAGAAAAGATGATCAGGACAAGCCTTGCTGCTCACTGAGCGCACACAGTTTGGGAACCTTGTCTTGTTCTGCATCTTTGACTGGCTGGCACAAGCACAGCTATGCTGGCAGGGAGCACCAGCTGCAATCCCACTTCAAGATGAAGTGAGAGTGCGCTTTCATCTGCAACAATCAGAAGATGAAATCCCAGTTTAAGCTGCCCTCAGAGCGGGCTGTAGGACTTGCACTGTGCTGAGGAAGACATAAGGAAGGAAACGGCTGTGAATGCTTTGTGAAGAAAACTCTTGCACAAATTTCTCTGCAGTAGCTGTACAACAGGTGGGATTGCCTCAAAAGTCACTGCAGCCAAGTCTGCTTTCTCTGAAATGCTGCTTGCTGTGAGGCTCCGAGTTCAGGACTGGTTTTACTCAGAAAGCCATTGTGGCACTGCATTCACAAGGCATTCTGCAGGACAGGCCACAGCTGAAAATATACTAACTGGCATCACAGCTGGAATGAACTGGGACACTGGGAGACTTGTAGTACTGCAAGAAAATCCAAACACTTGGCATTGCTGCTCTTTCAGCTGAGCTTGTTGTGATTAACTACAAATCAATCAGTCTACTTTCATCAAATCCCAGTGAGAATCAGTGATGCTCAAGGCATGAGGCACAAAGTTCCTGCCCAAGAGGAGCATTACCCATAATCAGGGAAAGAGGGAAACAAGAGAAGTAGTTCCTGCTGCCTGGCTGATACACAGTGCTGCCTGCTCAGCAGAGCAGAGAATTCACTGATGTGCTGACAGGTCACCAGCAATCACACATCAGCTGCTAATTAAAAACAAGGGCACACCTTGTTCCTTATGAGAGCCAGCACCTTTTTAAGTACTTAATCCCTTTGGCACTCCCCAATGAATTAACTGATGAGTCTTTCTTAAAACCGACATGCACAGTCCCAGTTTAGACTAATTTAAATGCAATGCTTTACCTCTTTTTTGAACTGAGTGCTCTTTTATTGTCAGTGCTTTGCACTGTGGGAAAAACTGAACACAGATTATTCTACTGCTAAAGCCTGATTTTTTTCTGCTTCAACTGGAGTAGGTCAGGAGCCTACACAAGTTAGTAGGAAATGGCTTCACATTCAGAGACCAGCACAGAATTGTAGGGATTGGAACGGACCTCTGGAGACCATTGAGTCCAATCCTAATGCTAAAGCAATTTTCCTACAGCAGGTCACACAGGGAAGCCTCGAGGTGGGACTTGAATATCTCCACAGAAGGACACCCCACCTCTCTGGGCAGCCTGTTCCACTGCTCTGTCACTCTAGCAGTAAAGAAGTTCTTCTTTCTGCTTGTATGGAACTTCCAGCATTCCAGTTTGTGCCCATTGCCCCTTGTCCTGTTGTTGGGCACTGCTGAAAAGAGCCTGGCCCCAGCCACTTGATACCCATCATTAGATAATTACAAGCATTGATAAGATCCCCCTCAGCCTTCTCTCCTCCAGGCTGAAGGGCCCCCGGTCTCTCAGCCTTTCCTCGTACAGAAGATACTGCAGGCCACCTTCCTGGCCCTCCATTGGCCTCTCTGCAGAGGTTCCCTGTCTTTTTCTTGAACTGGGGAGCCCAGAACTGGAAAGCCTTCTGTTGTCATCTAGTGGCACATCTTAGCAGCAATAATTGCATACCTGATGCCTTTTGCATTGCACAGAGAAGGGAAGAGCTATGGGCCTTAAAAGACTTGTGCTCTGTCAGTAACAGTCATGATTCGCTGGGCAGGAGTTCTCAAAGTAATTATAGGAGCTGCCTTCCTTGAGAACAGAAACAGGAGGAAACTGATGTGAAGGACAGCTCTGCTGCATGAGCACAGACAAAGGAATAACAAAACTCATGGAAAAACAACATCCTGCAGCTTTTGTTCAGGCAAAAATTCCACTGACACAGCAACGGTCTAAAATGATGCATTACAGTGACAAGCAGGAGACCACCAATGAAACTGAAGTACCTGGCTGTGCTGGGGGACATTATTCTCATCTACCATCATGCTGCTCTTATCAGTTGTAGCACTGTGTGGAAAAGAACCAACCCTGTATTCATTGTAACAAAGTTATGGCCACTTTGCTTTACCTCCTGTCCTGCTGCTGTGACAGCAGGATGTCTGACCAAATTCTGACATCACAAACAAAACTGCTCGTGTTTTGCTGTGTTTCAGAAAAAGCAGGTGTAATATCCAAGAACAACAGCAAAACCAACCATTCCTAGCATCAAAATAAGCATCCTTAGCCCTGGTTCTGTAGGGCTGACTTCGGTGTTGCTCCAACTTGCAGTTTTGCTATAAGCTTCATCATTCCCCACCCTAGAAATAAAGCTCTCCTGCTCTCCTCACAAAGCAGCTTCTCCTTGGCCACAGAGGCTGGAGTTGAAAGGAAACCCTATTAAGGAGGATGAAAGCACAGAGTGCAAAGCTGGTGGTATAGTCAGTGAGTGAAGCTACACAATCACAAGGGGAAAAAAATACAGAAGCAGAACATAAAGCTTCTATGTCCCAGAAACAGGCTGAATGAAGTTCTCTTTGTGAAAGGGCAGTCACTGAGGCTTCATAGCCCATTGGTGTCAGTGCAGAATTGCCACTTGTCTCACTGAACTTCAGATCAAGCCTTTGTAAGTCTTAAAATCGTTCCACTTTAATGTTAAGGAATGACGTATTTCCCTCAAGGTTAATACAATTAAGGAGTATTTTTAGTAATAGATAGAAAAGTTTCCTTAAAGGAAGCATTTGACAAGATATATAAAAATACTGCAATAGAGGTTTCACCTTTGGGCAAATGTATCTATATTGCAGCCCTTTACAGATAGGAAAAATGGGCTTTACGTATTTACTCGACGACATAATACAATTTGATAAATTGAATCCAACTCAAATCCGCTAAAAATTGTTATAATTAAAACCAAAGTATGATATGATATTGCCATTCAGCTTCACAAATCAACTTCTACATTGAGCCAGGGAAAACTAGCAAGCAGATACTAAAGAAAAAACGAACATACAGAAATATAACTACTACTAAAGGCAGCTTTTATACAAAGTATGTCAAATTCCTTTTGCTTCATATTATATGTCCCACATAATACATAATTACCCAAGCAGCAGGTTGGGGTCAGTTTCTGACATAACGTAACTCTCTTGTATGGGTGAGAACCTAGGAGTAAGCCCACCAGATACATACAGCATGGGAGCAGGTTTTGAAAAGAGTCTTCTTATTTTCTATTAAATGTGTTTGTGCATTTATATCTGTGATAGTAAAATACTCATCTTGCTCACACACATTTGTGCATGTAAACATTTGGTTTAGATCTGTGAGGCTTATGTGATCAAAAGCACTCGTCTGGGAGCCACGCGCAGTGGGAAAAACGAATCGGCACAGATGATGATTCATGGGGCGTGGGTTGTTTTCATCAAGAAAGAACAAAACATGAAAGCAAAATAATCGTATTTGAAAAAGAGATTTCCACATGGAACGTGGACCCTTGCTGGGATCTGGCAGGCACCGCACTGGGCAGGTCTGAGGCCCTGCACCTGGCACCAGTGCCTGCTTGGGCTAGCAGTGTGTGTGAGCCAGGTTATTTTGCTAGGAAAAAAAAATAATAAAATAAAGAGCAGAGAGGATTTGAGCTGCAAAAGCCACTCACAGGAATGGCTTGGTGGGCACATGACAGGGGACAGCTGTTTTGGCTTGGAACCACAAGAAAAGTGGCAGCAGGCTGCTTCTGCACAGCTTTCATGCCTGTCTCTAAGAACTGAGAGCAGCTTTGCCCACAGGTGTGCTTGCTGACATCTCAGCCATGCTGTACCTTGAGAAGCTGGCTGCAGTGAGTGTGGGGAACTCGCCCAGCTTGCCCAGGCTTCTGCCTTCCCTCTCCAGCTTCCTTCCCTTCTCCTGGCTGCCCTGCTGTTCTCCCAGCTGCCATGACCACAACTTCTGCTTTCGAGCTCAAGTTGGTTCCCTATTGTTTCTGCGCTCAGACAAGAAAGGCAAACTTTTTCCATATATGCTGATTATCAGAGATTTAGTTCCCGTGTTCCCATATAAAAATATACTGCCTAAAGTTCAGCTGTTCTTTATCAGGCACAGCTCTCCCCCACACAATGCTCTGCTCCATTTTAACACAAACCTTTGGAGTACCTCCTGATCCTTCCAAACTCCCCCGTGGATACAATTGGCATTGTTCGAGACCTGATTCTGCTTTTGTTTTGAAAAACTAGTGTTGATTTCTTATGGAAAAGGAGTTTAACCAATATGCATAATGGCACAAAATACTATTTCTATTTTCCCTCCAGGCTTTAAGGAGATACACGGTGTTTATTAACATCTCATCTCCTTGCAGGTCCTCTGAGCCAGCAAAGCTTGCACATCCTTTTTCCTCCCTTCACTGTGCGCTGGTGAAGCCTCACCTCAACCGCTGTGTGCAGGTTTGGGCACCACAAGGAGAACATAAACCCCTTAGAGACCACCAAAGGAGTGCTACAAAACTGATGATCCAATGGAGCCAGGGTTGGATGCAAAAATCAAGATGGCCCAGTAACTGATCAGACATAGCAATATTTTGGCAGACACCGACTATTAACTGAGTTTATGTAGGATTAATTTTCCAGAAGCACTCAGACTAGACCTGATGAGTCAGTTGTGAGGCATCTGAAATGGCAACATGCCCATCCAGGCAGTTTGACGTTTAAAGCAACATTAACCTGCAGGTTATCATGGGTTGGAAATTTCTGCTGCTGAATGAAAAGGCTGGAAATGGAACTAATGCGTCAAAGTTCAGACAATCAACCCTTCTGTTAGAAACTCTGATAAGCATCCCAAATGAAAACAAAGGAACAGAGAATCGAGGGAGGGGAGAAGCTAGCAAGCATTTTTCACTTTCCTCATCATCCAGCCTAAAAAACAAAGCCCCTCTACATTTTGCCCTTCTGTGTCACTGCTACAAGCAGAAACTTTAAAAGACCTATTTGAAATTCCTTTTTCCCCAATAGGAACTGGTGTTCTGTCACGCAGTCTCGTCTGGTGACATACATTGAGGCCTGCATGAAGGAGAAATACATTGTCAACTCCCAGCAGCCCTGCCCAAACGGAGCTCCAGATTGCCAGAAGATCATGTAAGTACCCCAGGTGAAACCACTAGAGACAACGGGATATTCTCTGAGGTATCTGAATTAGATTTTCAGAACTACTGATTGGCACATTTTGAAAATAAATTAAGCACCAACTTAATTTAATACCAAGGTGAGGTAGTGTCTGATTTACGTACCTATCATGATAAGGCATTTAAATAACCTGGGATAATTATTGCCTTTAAAAACCATCAAGTATAGGACTACAAGGGGATTAAGTGATTTTTCTAATCTACCCACGTTAATTTAGGAGAAAAAAAAGAAAGCAATCACATCTTTTTCACAATTTTCAGGTTCCTAATACACACACAACTTAAAAATAACAACAAAACACCAAAAAGCTCTGCCTGTGACCATCAGTAAGACTTATTCGTAGTCACAGATACACAACTGCCCAAAGGATTATTCTTATTTCAGAAGGACCGGCTGCCCAAAGAGCACAGGTGAAAGCCTATGGGACAGCTCTATAATAGTAAATATTAGAGTTCTGTTTGTGATAATTATGGATGTTTGCCAGCTGTAACATCTCTTTGAGACTCCTGTCAGATTACTGCAACATGTTGGACAAAAATCCCCACAGGACAACAAACAGGAGGAAGGTGAGGTAGACCAATGCAGACTGCTAACTGAACCGTACTTACATTCTGCCAGCATGTATGAATTTGCACACACCTCCTGTTGCAAATAGTTCTGAAAACCAATCTTATGCAGAAAATAATACTGCTGTCAACTGCTGCTAACTGTTTTAGTGAGCAGTAGTGATAAATTTACAACAAACTTTTAAACCACATTCTGCATTAGTTATCTAGGACACCACTGGCACCAGCATACAGTTAGTCAGTGGATTTGCCCCACGTGATGCCAGCTGACCATAACTTGGAAACTAACACCTGGACCCTGCTCCTCAGGTACAGGACAGCCCTGAAGCCAGTCTATCAAGTGAAACAGAAGGTTCTGAAGTCTTTGCAGTGGAAGTGCTGCCCTGGATTTATTGGGAAGGATTGTGAACAACGCGGTAAGGAAAGCCAGAGAGCATGCATAGGAATTAAGACTAAACCACATTCATTGTGGCAAAAAACAGCTCACCTATTTGTTCCTCCGGTTTGGGAATTGATGCTTTATTTTCTTTGGCATGTTATGCCCCAAATCGCCTTGCAACAGGAAGGAGGTGTAATTAGCTTTAAACAAGGCTAACAGCAACAACACTTTCCACTAATCATCACACTTGGAGAGAAGCATTCATTTACCAGGGGAGCTGACACATGTAAAACTCCACCTATGAAGTCTCCATCTCTGCCTAAATGCATATAGAAAGTAATGATAAGAGAAAGTAACACCAGCATGCGATATATCAAAAAAATTGTTTAGAGGATGAAGTAATTGTGGGGGGAAATTGCCAAGTATCCAGTTTAAAGCAAGCCTTTCTGTGCCATGAACCACCACCACAGCTCCCTGTACTGCTGAATATTGATTGCAGCAGCTGCTAAATAAAAGGGGGGTGAGGGGGCAGGGGAGGAACAGCATGGTTTAAAAAGTGCAATGTTTCACAGCACTCAGAAGGTTTAACAAAATGCTTTATTCAAAAGTGGAAGAATTTATATTGAAATAAAAAGATAATTCTCTGTAGTAATTAAGGCATTAAACAAAGAAGTCAAACATTCAGGTGAAAATCTTGGTCCATTTCACCTACCCTAATTGGTGAAAAGTTTGCTCCTCAGAAAAGTTTGGAGTTCCTGTTTATATCTCTATTGGTTTAGGTTTAGGTTTTTTGTGCAGATAGCTCCTCTCAGTTCTTATCTCTAAGGTAATTTATCAGTCTGGCTTCTATTTAGGAGGTTAGCTATTACCAAATACAGTGTGTTTTGCTTAGTCTCTACTCAGTTATGCTCACAGACCAAAACCAATTGCTTCATTTTTATCTCTCCACTGGTACAGCACCACCCACTGTAGCTGGTGCTGCAATAGCAGAACATTCATGTAACTGGAACAGGAAAAAGAAATTTGCAGAACTTTTGAAAGGACTCTCCAGAGAAAAGCATCTATTTGTAACAGACTAACTTCTTATGATCAGTAACTCCGTATGAATTTTAAAACCCCATCCCTACTGCACAGCATCATCATTTACAAGGTGTTGCATTTTGGTGCAGTGCCACAAGTGAAATTCTCCCAACACAACGTTCCTTATCCTAGGATTCTTCCTGCTCTGCAGAAGCCAATCTCCACATCTGTCACATTGCAAGTGAAACTGCACATTCTTGCCTTATTGAACTGCATTAGTCTCTGCATCTAAAGTGTTCTCACAGATGTATCACATCTCAATTGCAGATCCTAATGTCATTACAGCACCAAGAAGTCAAACCGAAGGACGGCAAGAAGAAGAGTCCTCAAACCACAGTATGTTCTTGAACTTACATTGCTTGCCATTCTCTTACATCTCAAGTCACCGCCCTGAGCAAAAGCTAGATTTTCAGTTGCTCCTTTAACGTGATAAACTATGGATAATATCTTTAGTGAAAGCATCGCTTGGGAAAGTTTTTACACAACTATGTATCATTCACTGCCATTTATGCGTGTTTTTGCTATAAAATTATTATATGAATGTTCTTGAGAAAACAGCCAAAAGTTTCACAGTAGTAAGCTGGCTGATCATCACTTAAACCTAGTGAGAATGGCAGCTGGTGTTAAACCCTTTGTTAGTGTGGATGTTTAACTCCTTGTTCTGCTCGGTGGATTCATCGGAAAGCACTTCAGATGACTTACCAGGAAAAAAATCTATTCCAAATGCCATTTTAGAGCCTCTACTAGTAGCTTTGAGAATATTGTTATGATTCTTATCTCATCTTGCCAATCTAATATCCAAGAAGAACCTTTCCTCACTATATGGCAAATGGTGAGGCTTGTAGTGCTATTAAATACCTTCCAGCAACTGGGTTTAGGATAGCATTACAGCCCTGAAAGAGAGTCCTCCTTGCACTATGCTCTCAGCAATGAATGAATAAACAGTTGCTTTAGAAGACTCAAGTTTATAAAACATTAGCTTGAAAAGTCAATTGTAATCCTGGAAGGGAAGAGGTCGCAGGGATGGCACAGTTAAGATACACCAGTTCCTGCAACTCAGCATACACTTTTAATTCTTCAGCTCAAGTTAGCAGGTATTTATTTAGAGTAATACAAGTTAAAGGGTCCCTCTGTGAGAGCCAGCGGTGACACTTACCCCTTATGCTCTTGAATCTTTTGTGAAACACCTTCGTTGCTCCTTCATCCTGTCCTTTTATTCTGGGTTATAAAGCTTAGCTATCCTTCCTGTCAATTGGCTTGAAAGCAATAATTATTTCAGAATGTTTTTATGGCATGGGGAGGTATTAAATGAAGAATATTTTACCACCATTGTGGCTACCATGGTTGAAGGTCTTGTGTTAATATTTAAATAAATTTTCCATCGCTGCTGAAAAAAAGTTTGCAAGTAAACTGTCGTTAAGCTGCTATAAATCAACAGATCCCTAAATGTCATTGCAAGGTTTCCAGAGGAAAAAAAATACACTGGTGTTCTCAGAGCTCACAGGTCTTGTAGGAATACGTGTTGCTGCAACTTCATGGCATGACACTTTCTTTTTGAATCTTGTGATTAGTGCCAACACCAGTGGATTCAAGAGAGCTGTTGGAAGTCATTCAAAATCAGGAGGCATTACTGGATGATCTTCAAAGTGATATTCATCAAGCAGTCAGCAACTTAGGTGATTTACAGCGAATATTTGAAAACAACGGTACAAGCATGGTGTTAGAAGTGAACCAGAGCAATGAAGGTGAGAGGTCTGATGTAGAATTATCACCCTGTCAACAGGCCCTGTAAGACCATGCAGATCAGGAGGGGAGCCTGAGAGCCAGAATGCACTCTAATATCCCCTGGTCTGCAGGTTGCTTCCAAAGAGAGAAGAAAATGGGTGCAATTCCAATACAAAGTAATGAATTAAATCCAAGCAGAAGTCAAAATGTGAAATTAAATTAAAGGCAGATTCCTTCATACTCTTCAGAAATTTTAGAATCTGCATTAACCACAGAATGAAGAGATTGCTTACAATAATTCGTTAGCTTACTATTCTGCTTCCATGCATTCTTTTCTACGAGGATGCTGAGTTTAGATGTACTTTTTCTTCTTCTTTTCAGACTCCTAGCCCAATGTGCTGAATCTCAGATTGGTATACATAGTAAAAATACAACATGTGCCCATTTATCTGAAACATTATTCCTGCTTTATATTTGCAGTGGAAACTTTGGTCTGAATAGTACTGAATTTGAACTACTAATCTGAACCACTGACTTAGAGAAACGTCTTCTAGTGATACAGTCTGAACTTCAAGTCACTCAGTTCATATGCTCAAGTTCAAAATCAAGCCTTAGTCTAATTCACACTAGTACAGACTCCTCATAGATTTTTCCAGTTATAGAGTCTTTGCCTAGGATATGCAGGTGCTAAGATGCTGTGTAACTTTGTGAAGCATTAGGGACATCATAGAAAGCATCAGACAAATAATGGTATGAGAAAATTGCATAAGCAGGAGCACATCAGATAAGAACTTGTGAAAATGAGCAGTTACAACCATTAATAAAACTGCTCTAGAAGCATCTAAAAACGCAGTATTTCTCTGACTTAAACGGGGCAATCAATACATTTCTAAGTTTCAGTCTGCAAACAGAAACACAACATGTTTTGCTAATTTAAATAAGGTTATTTTTGCTGTTACAAATAATTCAGCATATGCTTAGATTTTGAGAATTAAGATGGCAGTTACTGAAGAAAAATACATCCTTGAGTTACCCTGGTCAGGTTAAGATGCTTTCTTAAACAGAATTATTAACTTTGTTTTAACAGATTTTCAGGAAAGGCTTCTGCGGCAATTTTTGTTTCCCCACATGGAGAATTTTCTAAGGAAACATTTGAACCCAATGTGGGCGAGCTTCAACAGAAGCTTACAGAATCTCTCCAACATAGTAAGAAACCTGTCCCACGATGTGGAAACCAACAAGAAAAGCATAGAAAGATTCCAAGAGAGCACTGTGCCTAAAAAAGAGTTCCAGGAGCTGGGAACTAAGTTCGAATCTAAAGTCCAGGAAAACGTAGTGAAAGTTGATCAAATAAGAAGAGAGATAGAGAATCAATTGCAAATGCAGCAGGCTAGTATTGAGCATAACCTCACCATAATTAGGGCAGATACTGACACAAGGCTGAAGAAGCATCACAAGATACAGCAGTCCCATCACTTAGCTTTGAACAACAACATGACAAATATGAAACACGAGCAAAACAATCTTGAAAATAAATTTGAGACTTTGAAAAAAAATTTAACAGAACTCTCCTCGCATCACAGTCCCAAAGATGAAACTACACAGTTAGCCATCAGACAAATAAATGACATGCTGGCAGGGCATGCAAAACAGCTTAAAGACCTCTACATGGAGTCAGATGTGGCCTTTCAGAATATTGCAGTTCTAGAGAGATGGTTTAAGGAGTTGAAAAAAAATATCTCAAAGTATAGGCCTGAAGATGTTTCAATAACTTTAATGGAGAAATCAGTTCTTATTGAAGAAAATAAAGCAGCAGTGGAAAGGCAGATATCAGAGATGAATGATACTCTCTCAAATCTTCAGGAAAACTATTCAGATCTGTTGAGATATATGGAGGAATGTAATTGCCAGAAGATACCTTCTGACACCAATATACTTGAGGAAGATTTAAAGAACATCACTTATCCCCTTGAGGGCCAACAATCAAAGGACATGAAGCAGTTAGAATCTGTTTTCAAAGACCTCATGAGGAATGAGATGGAAGAGCTCTCCTCAGCCTTTCCATTTATCCATCAGTCCCTTAACCTGCGTCAAGAAGAAAACAGACAGCTTCAGTTGCAAGTTGCATCTTTTTCAGAAGACATAGGCCTCTTGAAGAAGAAAGATGAAGAAATTTATAGACACATCAAGTACCTCAACAGTTCTTTCGGCTCACTTTTAGAAGATGCCATGCGGCACGAAGCTGCACTGGAGGCTTTACTGGGAGAAGAGTTTATGGAAGTCCTATTTGAGGAAGATCCCAGTACCCTAATATCATCAGTAGTTCAGCTGCAGGAATTTCTGAAAGAGATCTCAAATAAACTCCAAAACCAAAATATGACTTTAGAATCTCTTGTAAAGAGATTCCATCGCTTGGAGAGAGGACAACAGAATAATCACAGTGTTCATGCATCTTCAAAGCGTCCCAAACAGGAAACTCAGACACTCTCTGTACTGGATGAAGCTAATCAGCTCAGCAGTGTAGAACATATGGAACCTAATTATGAGGCTTCCAAAGATGACTCCTTGCACAGCTCAATGTATAATGACATAATGACTCTGAAGAATGACATCAAATATCTGAGTCTGGCAATCAAGAGGCACGAATCCAGAAATGACATGAGTATCTGCTGCAATCATACAATTGCAAATGTAGTAGAACCACTTAACACTTCTGTGGAAATTATCTCAGGAGATTTAGAAACAATTAAAGAGAAGCTGGAAAAACATCTGCTGATTTTCAAAAAGCTGTTTGGAAGCGATGAAGGATTACTTGCCTCAAATATAAGTCTGGATGTTGCAAAGATTCAGTCAATGCTTACCAGAAAAGTGAGAAGGCAAGAGAAAGGCCAAGACAAGCAAAGAGACAAAAAAAAGCCTGAGAAGCAGAGAGAAAATACACAGATAGTGAGTGGAAGAAATAGAGTGCAGACTGAACTGCTGGAAAAAGGTAGGTTCTTTTATCTTACTTGCTCATGTGCAGGTCTAGCTTCTCTCTGGGCCCTGCTGCAAGTCACTCCCAGTCCCTCAAAAGCATATAAACTGCAACCTGCCAGATATCCTGTGGGATGTTTAAGGGAGGTATTTTGATATCTTTGCTTTTCCATCTAAATACACTGTTTGATTGACAACCAAGTCAATACAGTGGTACACTTTTGCTCAAAGCCAGGGAAAAAAAAATAAACACGCACATTACAGCTACTGTGTAACTGGCCTTGAATTAATTCAACTTTAGATATTTAGAACCCAAATTTTGTTTGTAGATGCTCATGTTTATGGAATTAACTCTTAAAAAGCTGATGGGGAACACTGGGCCTCATGGTTTGCTGCTTCTTTCTCAGTTATTTCAGTCCATAAGGATTATACTCAAAGCATCAAATCCTCATCAGTCTGGGCAGATACATTAAATTAACTGCAATAACTTGTGTAAGCAGAACAGGGAGAACTGCCCGGAGTGCAATCTCTCTCTTAGAGTTAAGGTAGGTTTTTGGCTTATACTGCACTGATGTATCAGTGTGCCAAAAGCACCACGTAATTACAAGTGCCACAGTTCTACCACTGGCTTTTATGATTCAGCCTTTGCTACGGACACATAACACAGAACAAAAATCAGCCCCTTTAGGCAACTGTGCTGCAAAACTGTAGTTAAGAATGAATAAGCAAAGAACATATTTCAAATTGCTTTCAGGACAGCAAAAAGAGTGCAATTTTTTCTCTCCTGGTTGGTCTCACCCTTATGCCTTTCTAAGGATCCTGATCTAATCTCTTTATCTTCTCACACAACAGAATGCAGTTCTAGAGAGCTTACAATAACTTTAAAGGAAAAATCACTGAGCCTTGTGTTTTGCTGTGATATCTGCCTAGTCTTTATAATCAGTTGTTTTGTCACTACCTCAATCTACATTTCTTTTCCCTCAGCTATTTCTGGCCTTTATTTTAAAAACAAGAACAAAAACCTGCAGTTGAACTACTATTGACTTTGCTTCTTTCCCAAGAATAAGATGCCTTAAGTGCCAGCAAAACAGAAGTATTTTCTAAAGCATGTTTATCTTTCTACTAAGAATCTTGAAGTAAAAATATTACTTGAAAAAAAAAAATAATAAAAGGGGAACATTCTTTAATAGAAAAACAAAAGCCTATTCATGTCATCGGATCGCACTGAATGAATCTTTTCCTTGGTTAAGGACTTTTTATTTGTGCTTGACTTCTCTAAAAAACAGAACTGCAAGAGAACTTTCCAACAAATTTGAAAACACATGAAAACACATGATCACAACTACAAACTACTGGAAATACGCAAACAGAACTCCTAACAAAATTCTCAGTCCTAGAAGTTCAAATGAACATGGCATTTCTTTTTAGTAATGAGTGTGGTTGTTAGAAGTAATTGGTAAAGCTTATCCATCTGTATCAATGACCGTGAGGCTGAAACAGGAATGCTCCCACCTTTTGCACCCTATCCTAGCAGCTGAGGTAAGCAGGCTTTCGGGGACTGCAGTGCAGTGCTCTCACACTTTAGAGAAAGACCCCAGTCTCTTATCAAGACTGGAAGTAACCCAACTGGCTTTCTGTAAACCACAGCATTTCATGGCCTTGTCTGCATATAACCTCCCAACAAAGCAAGTTTTCTGCCAAAGTTTCTCTGTGCCTGTTCTGGGCACTTTCAATCTCTCAGTGTATGTAATTTGAGAGTAGGCATCAGAACAGTTTCAGGTAGTTAACTAAGTGCCTCATAGGTGCACGTGTCTTTACAAACTCCCTTCTTCTGTTAACAGCTCTGGGCAAGAAGGACTAGGAAAGAAGAGCTCCCATACCCAAAAAGCATTTGATATTTTCAGGGTTTTTTTCTTCCCCTTACGTGAAGTGATCTAATTTTATGTCTTCCTGACCTTGCATTTTTGATAGTTGCATAAACAAGTACCACTTTTCTTGTCTGAAAGAGGAAAGGTGTTTTGGATCACAGATAATGTTTCCAAAATACTTTATCTGGAACTATTAATCGGCTGCACAGCATCTAATAAAATGAAAGTTTCCATCATGCCTTAGGCTCCTGAGCAAATAAAAAGCAATAGCTGGGAAGAGGAATGCTCGTTGTTAAAATACTGTTTTTCTCTCTTTTTTCAGACTCATCAGTAGCATTCCATGTGGGATTCTCAGACAGAAAGGATAAAGAAAAAGCTCTGAAATTTAACGAAACATACCTCAATTATGGAAGCAGCTATTTTCCTGAACATGGCTACTTTAAAGCACCACACAAAGGCGTCTACCTGTTTGTCATCTCTGTGGAGTTCAGTTCAGGACCAGCACTGGGACAGCTCTCTTTCAGCCGTGGGTACAAAAGAACTCTCTCAAGTAGTCAGAGGAAGACACCAGATGGAAACACCGTAACTTCTTTTGCTATGGCAGAAATGGAAAAGGGAGAGAAAGTGTGCTTTGAATTGCTGCAGGGCACTGTCAAGAAACGAAGTCCACCTGGGACAACAATGAGTGGATTCCTACTATTTAAAACTTGAACAGTAACACTGTGTTTTACTGATATTTTTTCCATAGATGCAATGGATCAATTCACTATTGCTTCATCTGTGATGTATTCAATCCTACTGCATGTGTTTAAACATAGCACTACTCTAGGTTTGTCTTCATGCTTCTTTTCTGGAAGTGTTTGGCTTTTGATTAGTTGCTAATGAGCAGCAGTGTGATTTTCAAGTGATGACCTAATGGTTTGGATTCCAAACATATCAATGCACATTCTCAATTCCTTCCACAGGGAGAACTGCACCTAATCAGAACAGATGCTTTGCGGGGCTTTCTTCACTTAAAACTCATTTCTCTTTTTCTCCTTTCTCATGAGACCCCATCTGGAGCACTGCATTCAGCTCTGGGAACCCTCACATAAGGAAGACATGGGTATCTTGCAGCATGTCCAGAAGAGGGTCACAGAGATGATCAGAGGGCTGGAGCACCTCTCGTATGAAAAAGGCTGAGAGAAATGGGGTTGAAGAGAAGGCTCTAGGGAGATGTCATAGCCATATTCCAGTATCTAAAGGAGGCCTACAGGAAATCCACAGAGGGACTCTTTATGAAGGGGTACAGTGGCAGGACAAGGAGTAACAGCTTTAAACTAAAAGAAGACAGATGTAAACAACAGGAAGAGATCGTTTACTCAGAGAGCAGTGAGGCGCCGGAACAGATTGCCAGGAGAATCTGTAGACGCCCCATCCCTGGCAGTGAGGCTGGATGGGGCTTTGGGCAATCTGGTCTAGTATTTGGCAACCCTGTCCACAAAAGGGGGGTTGGAACTAGATGATCTTTAAGCTCCCTTCCAACTCAAACCATTCTAGGATTCTATGAAAAAAGAACCCCTCCTGTGACAGATGTCCCCATCACCATCAAGGAAAAACATTTCAGACTATATATTACCAGTGATATTTTTTTTTTAAGTGGTTGCTCAAAAGCAAGAAGCCAAGACAATTTTACTTCTCTGTTCTCTGTGGACCAGGCAGACTGTCTTGAAAACTTCTACAATTCACTCTAACTCCACATTTCAGTCTGTATGTAACACAAACACTAGGAAAAAAAAAAAAATAAATCAATCAAATCCAATAAGATGCACCCTGTACAGCCTTTGTAAGCAAGGATCTTAGAAGTGGCTGAGCCTCCCTCCTCCTAGACCTGGTATATTTCAACAACACTGCAGAACTTAATAGTAACATAACACTGTTAGGATGTGTTAGATATACATACATTCCTAATGTAGACATGAGGAATATGTCAACAATAGCAAAAAAAAATATTGCTGAAATATAGTTTATTTCTAAGGATATTCCTGTCATGAACACAGCCCAGACAGCCCAACGTTTAGTTTAAAATCAAGTGAGTGAGCAAACTAAATTATCAGCAAGTAGACAAGCTCACTGGCCTAATGTCATGGTTGAATATAAAATAAATTTATAATTAGAAAAAAGCAAAGAGCAGGATTTCTGAATAGTGGACGTCTGAGCTTCAGGAAAAAAAAAACAACAAAAAACAACCAAACCCACAAAAACTCAGAATGGCCACATCCTGAATTTTTCCTGTCAAATGAAGCATCTCCAAAGTTGTTCATTTTGAAGTTCTGTTATTCTTTGTTTTCCCTAACACAACTTAGAAAACTATATAAAAACAATTCCATTTGGCAAAATGAAATGCATTTTAAAATTCCCAATGCTTTTGATGAAAGAGATGAATTCCTAAGATGTATTTTATGCCCTTTAAAATAGTGCTTTCTGACAGAAAAATTTCTGTCAAGAATTTTCCTCCCCACCTATTTGTATTCTGAATGACACTACACTACAAGATAATTAAAAAGCATTGGTACCAATACACGCAACACTCAAGACAACAGTTTGGCAAGTATCTTTTGAGACTACAAAGTGGTTTTAGTTGCTGACTCGCTGATAAGATTGTTACTTTCCTTCTGGACAGGCAACAATGCAAATAGGTTCTAAAACTAGTATAATTAAATGCCTTCTACTGATTCAGAAACAAAAAGCCACAGACACAGATTAAGACACAGAATTCAGCATCTCTGGAAAGAGAAAATGCCACTTCTGACCTAATTAGCAGGTTATGTCCTCCTGCCTCCTTCTAGCCAGTAGTCCCATTCACACGAGACTAACTGGACAAGTCTCCCCATCCATCTGGTACAGAGTCAGTCCTTGCACTGCTCTGCAGGAAGCAGCATTGGATGCCCAGGAGCTCAGTCAACTTCTGCCCCCGACTGCCAAAATATCTGAGGAAGGAAGAGAAGAAAAATGGCAAGAGGCAAAATGTCAAAAAAAGGAATAAAACCATCAATTTGTAAGATTGGGTTCTGTTAGTAAAATCTATCACAAGGAGGTGACCCAGACATTTTTTGACATTTTATTTTACCAGTGGCCCAGCTATGGGCTATTGCACTGGCAGCATTCTGCAGCGCAAACAGTGCTGTCTAGGTCAGGAGAGAGTAAGGAGCAGTGCACACTAATCCTGCAGGTACAACCAAGTGCTATAGTTAAATACATCGAGAGAATATGTATTTATATGTTTTCAAATAGACTTGCTGGCTCTTAAGGCTTTGACAGAAAACTTCAATTGGAATGACAAGTACACAGCTACTTGGAAAGAGGCAAGGTAGGTAGTAGCTCAGCAGAAAGGCCTGTATGTGTGATCTCCAACCCTAGCAGTTCTCCCAAGTGGGATTTTTAAAAGTTCGGTACTGCCATGCTTAACAGAGTTATTTTTGTTGAAGAATTAGGCAGACAAATTCAGAGCTCGACTCCAGAGTGAATATAGTGTTAATATAAAGACATTTTCATATTCGTATTCTTTCAATATGTTAAGTTAACCACCTGCATACACAAAGAAGGGAAACTGACTGGAAAACTCGTTTTAACATTCTGAAGTAAAAACTTTAGGAAGGAAAATGGATTCAAGCACTCTATTGGCAGAATAAGCCTGGAGGTTTGTCTTCCTTCCTCAGTGATGAGGTTTTGTTATTTGTTTTGTTTTTGCTTTAAATACACACCTATTAAGCACTATCACCAACATGACTCTCATGTTTAAAAAATACCTCCCAGCTTCTCTTAGCACTCCCTGAAAAACCTGTAGAAAACCATCCAAAAAATTTTGCCAGTAGTCCAAATCTGCAAATCAAACCCCAAAGCTATAAAAATATTAAAACAAAAACCCCATGCCCTGTATCTTTCAACATCTTTGCTAAATTGTTTTGCTACTGATCTTGACCTGCTTTATGAACGTACCTTACAGTGCTTTGCGTTTTAAAATTAAAGTTCCTTAATTTTTTCCTCATTACTATGAGATGAGCTCCTTTCTTCACTCACAATTCAAGCACTCATTGTGTATCAACTTTCTGTTTTGTGTATTAATTTTCTATTTTATTATCTCTCTGTGGTTGATTTCACCGAATCCCGCAGTCAGATTCATCTGAGCCCATTTCACATGCCCACATCCTGCCTCTGAAGTCCACGGTGGTCACCCCTCAAGAACCAGTTTCATAGGGTTGATCCACTCACATTAGTGGGCCTCTCAGGAATCTGATTCATGCCTAGTATTGAAAGACTTCTTACTCCTTTAACATCTGAGACAGACCGAAATAGTGGTTTGGGGAACAGTGAAGATAAAGCCAGGGAAAGGATTAATGGAATTTATGGAATTGAAATCACTGATACTTCTGCTTTTATTTCATGATTCATTTCAGAAATCACTCAGTATGCTTTTACTATTTTATATGCTTTTTGGCCTTCAAACAAAATGTAACTGAGAAGGTGTTGGAGATGCTGCTGGACATGGCTTTCAGTTCTTAAGTACTGATGTGAGTGCATTGGTGAAAAAACTTAATATGAAGGTGAAAAACAATTACACATCGACTACACGATTTTGGTATTTATTACTAGTAGGCAGTAGAACTCATTTTCAACCATCAAAACCCCCACCATGTTTAAAAGGATTTTCATATCTTTGCGATACACCGCCATCGTGTGGCCGTTTCTAGGAGCAACGTTAGGTCGCTTGGTCCAAAAAAAACACCCAGTGCTTTCATTATGTCCTCCTGTGATGCAAATATAAGAAATCCTACAGTCTGCATCCCAGCCATGGTAAGCTCAATCAGTGAATACGTTCTGTCAGCTACAGCCATAATCATGACAGAAAATTTACTCTTGCAAGATACTAACAGTAAGAAGAGCAAATCTGGCTCTGTAAATCACTGGTATTATGTGCAAAAAAAAAAAAGGTTTGAAACCAGATAAAAAATATTCTACAAATCTAACACGTGAATTTATCACTTCGAAGAAAAAAAGTTTTTTACAATATACTGGTTAACTGCTTTTGTAATGCTCAGACATGAAACCCTTATACACATCGTAAAAAGCTATCTCTAAAGCAAAATTCTTCCTGGTCAAAACATACCTTTACATAGACAAAATGATTCAAAATTGACCTTACTTTTTCTTCCTTGCAAACCGAAACTGAACTGTCTGCAGTTTAGTAGCTGGCACATTTCTGCAATGAGAAAAACATTCTGAGATTTTAGACAATTGTCTACTCAAAGCCAAGTATCCCTTGGATTGTTTTTCATTTACTTGAACCATAAAACATCATAAACTTAGGTTGTATAGAAACACCTGCATAATTTTGTAACCAACAGCAGAGAAGCACATTAGCTTAAATTTCATGATTTGGACACTACTACACACACACCCACCCACCCACCCACCCACCCACCCACCCACCCACACACAAAGAGCCAACAAAAGAACCCCTCATCCATTTCTTTTTCCCTTTTTCAGTTGGCTTGACCCACTGAAATAAATTTATATAGATAAAATCAGCAGGTAGTCAACTCGCACATGTTCAAAGAGTTATTCAACTCTGATTTGCTTTTGGTTTCACTATAAGCAGAGTGAAAAAAAAAAAAAAAAAATCAGACAAAAGAAGCTCTGGTTTTATCATTGTGCTCAACTTAAGACCAAGAAGCAGAGGACTATAAAGCATCAAGTAATTCATGATTCCACTGAGCAATCAAAGTTGCCATTCACGACTTATTCAAGGGCTGCAGAAAAAAACACAAGTATTAAAGTATTACGATTTCCAAGTCATTACATTTTAAGACAAAGCCTCATAGTAACAAAACACATCACTAATGTGTACTAAAATAAGGTTATTTACTTAAAAATGATACATTGGACATAATCTGTGTACAGAACAAGCAATTCATGGTAAACTCAATAAGGCACCTTTTAAAGCAGATGCTGTACAAAATACATTAGTGTGTTACATTTTTAAAGGATTATTCTACACTTCTGGCATATAACACACAAGAGTGTGACCGTTTTCCTTGTTCCACTCTTTCTTTTTTTTATTTACATCTTCTCTAAGTTAGCTACAACGTTATTTAATTCATCTTGTATACAATATAATACATTTTATTTTGGGCATGGCATGTCAGAGCACAAATGTCAATACATGGTGTGGGTGTTTGCAACTGCAATCAAAGGTAAAATATGCAACAATTACATTGGATTTGTTCTCAAGTTAGAAGTAATGCGTGCTCCACTTCTGCTACACCAAACAAAGCTAACATACCAGGGCTCCATAAAGCACTGCACCATACAACATTGCCAGCTGTTTTCAGACATCACTCCCTGTTCAGAACAAAGACTGTGGGCACTAGATAAAAACCTATTGATTTCAGAGGCACCGTCAAAAAGAAAGATGAAGTAGTGCATCATCCTAATAGTTGATGGAAGATATGCTTAACTTCCCTTTTAATTGGTCTTCTAAAGACAAAGACGACTTTTTAACTACGTTGGCTTCTCCAACATTTCAGGTTGTTGAAATACAAGCTATGGGGATAGGGTAGACAAAATGTATGCAAATGCTTCATTTTAAAAACACATTCAAATGGTCATTCAGATCAAGATCTAAAATTTCATTTGAAACCATTACGGAGGTAACAAAATATTCATTTTATACCTCATTCGATACTTGAAGAGAGACTCACCAAGAAAATAATCAGGAAAAAGTGATGCATTTTGGGAAAAGTGTCCTTTCCCTGAGCAAAACTCAGGAAAAAACTACATTTTGAGCAGAACTCAGAATACAAGCCTACATTTTACAATAGGAGCATCATATTTCCTGTGAAATTTGCAAGTAATTTGGACAATAGTAATTATATGTTACTCAAATTATTTACCAAATTACTGAAATCACAGGGAATAGGTTAAATTAAAAAAAAAAAAAAAAAAAATTAAGAAATTCAAAGGCACAGTTTTCATGCTCCCAACATGCACTCATGCACTTCACACTTCTGATTTTTACTGATGTTTATGTGCATACATAAATCATATTCGTCAGACTTGGGGGACTTGTTTTAGATGACAAATCCTTACAATTTTGACCCAAAAAGGATTATTATCCCATGTGAACAGACAAACCCAATTACCTATTCTATCCCTTAAAGGCTTCTGAATTCTACAGTATTGCATAAAGCAAAAACTTAGCCTAAGAGTCTGTTTCATTATATAATAACTAATGGGCTGGCTTGGAGCTGAGAGCTTTCTGAAAGGTAGCTAAAATATCAGCATCGACATACTTGAGCTCCAGCGATTTACTTCACACGGAAGGCAGATGCATGCTGAAGTGCTTTATGCAAACAGCTCCTTTAGGAACTGGCTTTTTTAGAATATCAGAGAATCAAGGATTACTTAAGATCCAGCAGCTCCTCTTGATGACTAGGGAAAACGACATATGCATCATACGTTTCAGTATGAATCTGGAAAATGAAGTGCTGAAAAATTCAGGTTAATCTTCAGGATCAAGGATTTTTGTCTCCCAAATACTGAAGATCTTTGCAGCAGTTTATTCTCATCTTTGTCTAAGTGAATGCATAAATCAGTTCAGGTCTATAAGATTTCTACCAAAGATCATCATCTTATTACTTTGTTAATCCTATACAATAGAGGAGAAAACAGGCAGATAATTAGAAACTACAGAAATTCACTTTCTTGTTTTGCTTATACTGTCATTGATGGCTTCTTGAAGCTTGAGAGAAATTGATTTTCACAAAACTTACAGCTTACAATGCCGTAACAGCTTCTGAAAGCAGTAACAAAAGTATTTCTAAAATGGACTGGGTTAATTTAACTAAATCTCCATAGTCCGAAAGTTTAAGCTAGCAGGATACCTAGATAAACATTTCTCCTTACTGATAAAAATCCTAGAGGCAAAGCCAAAAAAAAAAAAAAAAAACCCCAAAAAAAGTTTTCCTTTTTTCTGTTTTTGGCTCATACCCAATGTTTTTCTGCTACCTGTGCAAAAATGGTGTGCAAAGACATGGTTAATAATTTCAAACGCATCATACAGTTCTTGGCAGTGGACGGAGAAACCTTCTTTTAAAAAGCCCTTTTCCATGAGCACTGTGGCACTATATTGTATCTTTTGCCATATTCAAATAAATTAAAATCATAGCTGACACATCTGTGAACTTTTCAGCCAGAGTACATATTAATACTTAAAGGCATTACTGAACAAAAGTAATGACTTTATTGTTAAAAAAAAGAAATGTCCCTCAAAATAGCTAGTTATCTATAAAATATGTAGCACTATTAAATAAAGTCTGTACATCACAATAGAAAATAAAAATACTGCTATCTTTTTGCCTGACCATTTACATTATGCAAACTACAGAATTAAAATGAAAAGATAACATGTTAGGAGGTTGTAGTTGTTCACAAATCACATTAGTTCTGCATTACACTTTTTCACCAGTTGTATTTAAGGGAAATTTAAACACATATCAAAACAATCTCCATGTACACACCTTCAGACAACAGATAATCTGCATAAATCAACCTGATGTTTTAACATTTTCTTCAATTTTAATATTATTCCTAACTTTCTTCTTCAAATCTCAACTATGGCATATATGTGTGTGTGCGTGAATGTATCTAATTATACACATGTACATAGGACTAATTATTTTTTTTAATAAAGCACAAAACACACTGTATAAATAACTTCCCTTTTTAAAGTTATCTAGAACAAGATTTACAGTACAAAGTTATAGGCACTTAAATTATCAAATAGGTTCAATGGTTGCGAATACTGTGTTTTCATTCTTCCAACAATTCATGGACTTGAAGGTTCAACTTTATGGTACTGTTTCCTGACTTAGAAGTTTCAAAGGAGCCATAATGAAATAATTCTGCCTTACTGCAACCTCACAGAGGGGTTCTGGTTTTTAACCAACTCATCTGGATGGGAGGAAAAAAGGAGGCAACTACAGTTTC